GGGGTTCTTAAGGTAAATCCTCAACCTTAAACCTGGTTCAAGGTTTGATCATTGGGTAACGAGTGATTTGGGGATTTAACCCTGAGCTCTAAACCTTCACTGACGATTGGTTTAGGGTTTCATGTGTCGGTGTATGGGATGGAGTTTCAAATCGTGTAAGAGAACAACCTTGGACACTAAACCCACGAAACCGAAGGAGCGAATCGCGAATTTAGGCCCTATCCGCTGCATACAGGGGCCGAAATAAGATGTATTTTGATCAACGTATGCAAAGGCTACGAAGGATCCGACCTCCACGCACAGTAGTTCAAGGGATTACGAACAAAGTTGCGGTATGACGCTTGAGCTACCCAGACCTTCCCCAAATCCCTCAGGTAAGGAACATGCCTTAAACTGAAGTAGGATCCATCATCAGAGAAAAGGCAAATTCCACAATGAAGAGATTTTGGAAGGTCTGGGTAGCCATAGGCCCCATAGTAGTTCCNNTTTTTGGGATTACCTTATAGGATTAAAAATATAAACCCCAAACAGGAACTGCTATGGGGCCTATGGGTAGCCCCAACGTCTCCATCTCGGTCCGTGCATCCCGGGCCAAGAACTTGAAGCTCCCCCTAAACCCTAAACCCCAAAACCCTAAACCCTAAACCCAAACTTACACAAGCGTTGGTGCCTGTTTTGGGGGCCTCCAGAGGTGAAATGAAGATAGGAAGAATTAAGGATCCCTTATAACTTTTATAGGGGCTCTTATTATTTTGGAATTACCCCGATACTACACCCTAAACCCTAAACCCTAAACCCTGAACCCTAAACCCTAAACCCTAAATCCTACACCCTCAAGCCCTAAATCCTAACCCCTGAACCCCAGCTTCATCCCACCCTTGGTGCCCCTTCGAGTGTTGGGGTCGGGGTTACACCGTGATCCCTTTTGGCATCAAAAAACTGCGGACTTGGGCTCTCAGGGTTTCTGGCCATAAAACATTCGCTAGGGTTTAGGGTGAGGTTTAGGGTTTAGGGTTTAGGGTTTAGGGTTTAGGGTGAGGTTTAGGTTTTAGGGTTTCGGGTTTAGTTATAAGGATTTAGGTTTCAGGGATTACGGTTTAGTTTAGGATTTAGTTTAAGGGTTTAGGGTTTAGGGTGAGCCCGAAGACCGAAAACACCTAGGATTGCCGGGAAGCACAAAAGCATGATTGTTTCCAGCCGATTCTGGTGCCTTGTACCACCCGAGGGCGCCCGGAGGCGCCAAAGGCAGTCCCACAATGCGGACTGAGCCATGGATTTAAGGTTTAGGCTTTGTGGGAAATGGGGTTCAGCGTTCATGGGGCAGTTGGAGGGTTTGCCACGCCCAAACCAGACCCAACCCCAGTAAATCAGAAACCCTGAGCCCCAGAAAGCCTAAACTTGAAACCGCTGGACCCTAAACCCTAAATCGTGCATCAAACCTTTAACCTTTATCTAACCTCTAACCTTAAGCCCTTTAGCTTTCATCCAACCTCTAACCTTAAGCCCTGAAACCCTAAACCCTCAACCCTAAACCTTAAGCCCAAAGCCCTAAACCCCAAACCCTAAACCCTGAACCCTAAAAACCCTCAGCCCTAAACCCAAAGCCCTTAAGCTTTCTGGAGGACCAGGGCCGAGAGCGTTTTCGGAGCTTTGGGGTTTAGGGATCCATTTTGTCGGCTCCGAGGGCTACTTCCTTCAACAAGAGGTCCGGCTAGCAGGTCACTATTTACGGTTTAGGTTTAGGGTTTAGGGTTTAGGGTTTAGGGTTTAGGGTTTAGGGTTTAGGGTTTAGGGTTTAGGGTTCAACAAGAAGTCCTGTTAGCAGGTCTATATTTAGGGGTTTACGGTTTAGTCTATACGCTACTTTGGGGTTTAGGGCTTAGTATATATATATATACACATACAAAAGAGGCCTTCTCAAACTTAGCGCGTGTACTACTGAGGTCAGAACAACTAGTGAGACTGCCCCAATATACCCCCGACATATACTCACGCTATAACCCTGAACCCTACACCCTGAGAACCCTAGGAAGCCTCAAGCTTACTTCCCCAAGAAGCCAGGGAAATAAAAGGTTAAACTTTCAGATTAAGTTATAGGGACCCAAAAAGTTTAAAGGTTGGGTATTGGGGAACTAACTAA